CTCCCCCAGCCCTCTCACCCTTCTTCCCCAGCCCTCTCACCCTACTCCCCCAGCCCTCTCACCCTGCTCCCCCAGCCCTCTCACCCTACTCCCCCAGCCCCTCTCACCCTACTCCCCCAGCCCTCTCACCCTGCTCCCCCAGCCCTCTCACCCTGCTCCCCCAGCCTTCTCACGCTGTTCCCCCAGCCCTCTCACCCTACTCCCCCAGCCCTCTCACCCTTCTTCCCCAGCCCTCTCACCCTACTCCCCCAGCCCTCTCACCCTGCTCCCCCAGCCCTCTCACCCTACTCCCCCAGCCCTCTCACCTTACTCCCCCAGCCTTCTCACCCTGCTCCCCCAGCCCTCTCACCCTACTCCCCCCCCCCCAGCCCTCTCACCCTGCTCCCCCAGCCCTCTCACCCTGCTCCCCCAGCCCTCTCACCCTGCTCCCCCAGCCCTCTCACCCTGCTCCCCCAGCCCTCTCACCCTACTCCCCCCAGCCCTCTCACCCTGCTCCCCCAGCCCTCTCACGCTGTTCCCCCAGCCCTCTCACCCTACTCCCCCAGCCCTCTCACCCTACTCCCCAAGCCCTCTCACCCTGCTCCCCCAGCCCTCTCACCCTGCTCCCCCAGCCCTCTCACCCTGCTCCCCCAGCCCTCTCACCCTGCTCCCCCAGCCCTCTCACCCTACTCCCCCAGCCCTCTCACCCTGCTCCCCCAGCCCTCTCACGCTGTTCCCCCAGCCCTCTCACCCTACTCCCCCAGCCCTCTCACCCTACTCCCCCAGCCCTCTCACCCTGCTCCCCCAGCCCTCTCACCCTGCTCCCCCAGCCCTCTCACGCTGGTCCCCTAGCCCTCTCACCCTACTCCCCCAGCCCTCTCACCTTTCTTCCCCAGCCCTCTCACCCTACTCCCCCAGCCCTCTCACCCTGCTCCCCCAGCCCTCTCACCTTACTCCCCCAGCCCTCTCACCCTACTCCCCCAACCCTCTCACCGTGCTCCCCCAGCCCTCTCACCCTGCTCCCCCAGCCCTCTCACGCTGTTCCCCCAGCCCTCTCACTCTATTCCCCCAGCCCTCTCACCCTTCTTCCCCAGCCCTCTCACCCTACTCCCCCAGCCCTCTCACCCTGCTCCCCCAGCCCTCTCACCCTACTCCCCCAGCCCTCTCACCCTACTCCCCCAGCCTTCTCACCCTACTCCCCCAGCCCTCTCACCCTACTCCCCCAGCCCTCTCACCCTGCTCCCCCAGCCCTCTCACCCTACTTCCCCAGCCCTCTCACCCTGCTCCCCCAGCCCTCTCACCCTGCTCCCCCAGCCCTCTCACCCTACTCCCCCAGCCCTCTTACCCTGCTCCCCCAGCCCTCTCACGCTGTTCCCCAGCCCTCTCACCCTACTCCCCCAGCCCTCTCACCCTGCTCCCCCAGCTCTCTCACGCTGTTCCCCCAGCCCTCTCACCCTACTCCCCCAGCCCTCTCACCCTACTCCCCCAGCCTTCTCACGCTGTTCCCCCAGCCCTCTCACGCTGTTCCTCCAGCCCTCTCACCCTACTCCCCCAGCCCTCTCACGCTGTTCCCCCAGCCCTCTCACCCTGCTCCCCCAGCCCTCTCACGCTGTTCCCCCAGCCCTCTCACCCTACTCCCCCAGCCCTCTTACCCTGCTCCCCCAGCCCTCTCACCCTGCTCCCCCAGCCCTCTCACGCTGTTCCCCCAGCCCTCTCACCCTACTCCCCCAGCCCTCTTACCCTGCTCCCCCAGCCCTCTCACCCTGCTCCCCCAGCCCTCTCACGCTGTTCCCCCAGCCCTCTTACCCTGCTCCCCCAGCCCTCTCACGCTGTTCCCCCAGCCCTCTTACCCTGCTCCCCCAGCCCTCTCACGCTGTTCCCCCAGCCCTCTTACCCTGCTCCCCCAGCCCTCTCACGCTGTTCCCCCAGCCCTCTTACCCTGCTCCCCCAGCCCTCTCACCCTGCTCCCCCAGCCCTCTTACCCTGCTCCCCCAGCCCTCTCACCCTGCTCCCCCAGCCCTCTCACGCTGTTCCCCCAGCCCTCTTACCCTGCTCCCCCAGCCCTCTCACGCTGTTCCCCCAGCCCTCTTACCCTGCTCCCCCAGCCCTCTCACGCTGTTCCCCCAGCCCTCTTACCCTGCTCCCCCAGCCCTCTCACGCTGTTCCCCCAGCCCTCTTACCCTGCTCCCCCAGCCCTCTCACGCTGTTCCCCCAGCCCTCTTACCCTGCTCCCCCAGCCCTCTCACCCTGCTCCCCCAGCCCTCTCACCCTGCTCCCCCAGCCCTCTCACCCTGCTCCCCCAGCCCTCTCACCCTGCTCCCCCAGCCCTCTCACCCTGCTCCCCCAGCCCTCTTACCCTGCTCCCCCAGCCCTCTCACCCTGCTCCCCCAGCCCTCTTACCCTGCTCCCCCAGCCCTCTCACCCTACTCCCCCAGCCCTCTCACCCTACTCCCCCAGCCCTCTCACCCTGCTCCCCCAGCCCTCTTACCCTGCTCCCCCAGCCCTCTCACCCTGCTCCCCCAGCCCTCTTACCCTGCTCCCCAGCCCTCTCACCCTGCTCCCCCAGCCCTCTTACCCTGCTCCCCCAGCCCTCTCACCCTGCTCCCCCAGCCCTCTTACCCTGCTCCCCCAGCCCTCTCACCCTGCTCCCCCAGCCCTCTCACCCTGCTCCCCCAGCCCTCTCACCCTGCTCCCCCAGCCCTCTCACCCTGCTCCCCAGCCCTCTCACCCTGCTCCCCCAGCCCTCTCACCCTGCTCCCCCAGCCCTCTCACCCTGCTCCCCCAGCCCTCTCACCCTGCTCCCCCAGCCCTCTCACCCTGCTCCCCCAGCCCTCTTACCCTGCTCCCCCAGCCCTCTCACCCTGCTCCCCCAGCCCTCTCACCCTGCTCCCCCAGCCCTCTCACCCTACTCCCCCAGCCCTCTCACCCTGCTCCCCCAGCCCTCTCACCCTGCTCCCCCAGCCCTCTCACCCTGCTCCCCCAGCCCTCTCACCCTGCTCCCCCAGCCCTCTCACCCTGCTCCCCCAGCCCTCTCACCCTGCTCCCCCAGCCCTCTCACCCTGCTCCCCCAGCCCTCTCACCCTGCTCCCCCAGCCCTCTCACCCTGCTCCCCCAGCCCTCTCACCCTGCTCCCCCAGCCCTCTCACCCTGCTCCCCCAGCCCTCTCACCCTGCTCCCCCAGCCCTCTCACCCTGCTCCCCCAGCCCTCTCACCCTGCTCCCCCAGCCCTCTCACCCTGCTCCCCAGCCCTCTCACCCTGCTCCCCCAGCCCTCTCACCCTGCTCCCCCAGCCCTCTCACCCTGCTCCCCCAGCCCTCTCACCCTGCTCCCCCAGCCCTCTCACCCTGCTCCCCCAGCCCTCTCACCCTGCTCCCCCAGCCCTCTCACCCTGCTCCCCCAGCCCTCTCACCCTGCTCCCCCAGCCCTCTCACCCTGCTCCCCCAGCCCTCTCACCCTGCTCCCCCAGCCCTCTCACCCTGCTCCCCCAGCCCTCTCACCCTGCTCCCCCAGCCCTCTCACCCTGCTCCCCCAGCCCTCTCACCCTGCTCCCCCAGCCCTCTCACCCTGCTCCCCCAGCCCTCTCACCCTGCTCCCCCAGCCCTCTCACCCTGCTCCCCCAGCCCTCTCACCCTGCTCCCCCCAGCCCTCTCACCCTGCTCCCCCAGCCCTCTCACCCTGCTCCCCCAGCCCTCTCACCCTGCTCCCCCAGCCCTCTCACCCTGCTCCCCCAGCCCTCTCACCCTGCTCCCCCAGCCCTCTCACCCTGCTCCCCCAGCCCTCTCACCCTGCTCCCCCAGCCCTCTCACCCTGCTCCCCCAGCCCTCTCACCCTGCTCCCCCAGCCCTCTCACCCTGCTCCCCCAGCCCTCTCACCCTGCTCCCCCAGCCCTCTCACCCTGCTCCCCCAGCCCTCTCACCCTACTCCCCCAGCCCTCTCACCCTGCTCCCCCAGCCCTCTCACCCTGCTCCCCCAGCCCTCTCACCCTGCTCCCCCAGCCCTCTCACCCTGCTCCCCCAGCCCTCTCACCCTACTCCCCCAGCCCTCTCACCCTGCTCCCCCAGCCCTCTCACCCTACTCCCCAGAGATGAGGCTATATATGGAATTGTTAAATTTTTACATTTTTGAGCAGTTAGTTGTATTTATATATAAGTAATCTGGTGAGATTTTGATAAAATACAGAACAAAAAATGTTTGCTTTATAAATGCATGAACATACACCTAACAATTTTGTCAATTTCATAAAATATTAATATATTTCAAAATTTGTATTAGCTGTATTTTTTTATATGCTGTACTGATTAAGGATAATAGGTTAAAAGGTGTTAATTCCAGCAAGTTGAAAATAACTTTACAGTACATAATACCTGTTCCACCAGAGTTTAATGCATTGATATAATTACAGTGTAGATTATAACAATGTAGATTATAAGTACATCCTTGCCTTGTGTGACTACACCCTTGCCTTGTGTGACTACACCCTTGCCTTGTGTGACTACACCCTTGCCTTGTGTGACTACACCCTCGCCTTGTGTGACTACACCCTTGCCTTGTGTGACTACACCCTTGCCTTGTGTGACTACACCCTTGCCTTCTGTGACTACACCCTTGCCTTGTGTGACTACACCCTTGCCTTGTGTGACTACACCCTTGCATTGTGTGACTACACCCTTGCCTTGTGTGACTACACCCTTGCCTTGTGTGACTACACCCTTGCCTTGTGTGACTACACCCTTGCCTTGTGTGACTACACCCTTGCCTTGTGTGACTACACCCTTGCCTTGTGTGACTACACCCTTGCCTTGTGTGACTACACCCTTGCCTTGTGTGACTACACCCTTGCCTTGTGTGACTACACCCTTGCCTTGTGTGACTACACCCTTGCCGTGTGTGACTACACCCTTGCCTTGTGTGACTACACCCTTGCCTTGTGTGACTACACCCTTGCCTTGTGTGACTACACCCTTGCCTTGTGTGACTACACCCTTGCCTTGTGTGACTACACCCTTGACGTGCTCCCACAGATGTACGTCATGTGTGTGTTGGACTACGAGTTCCATGTGCTGGACAACGCCTTCTTGGTGCATCGGCCGGGCATCAAGAGACACCGACGGGACCGCCACAGAGACCTCCTCACGGCGCGCCAGAACTCTCTCCTTCACAACAAAATAACGCCAGAACTCCACACAATCTACGGCAGGAGAGGCATGTGCTTCTTGTAGCGTCCGCAGGTGAGTCTCTCTGTGATCTGTTGCTACCTCTCCACCAGGCGGGTCAGCTGGTGCCTTCTCCAACGGGTCATTGTGACATGAAGTGTGCTCCTCCACTGCTCTTTTTCCCTCCTCTCGCAAATCTGGTCGTGGGGCCTGCAAACACCCACGTACCTTACTGTAGCTTGAAGGACCCCAGGTGTAGGACCCCAGGTGTAGGACCCCAGGTGTAGGACCCCAGGTGTAGGACCCCAGGTGTAGGACCCCAGCTGAAAGATCCCAGGTGTAAAACCCCAGGTATAGGACCCCAGGTATAGGACCCCAGGTATAGGACCCCAGGTGTAGGACCCCCAGGTGTAGGACCCCCAGGTGTAGGACCCCCAGGTGTAGGACCCCAGGTGTAGGACCCCAAGTGTTTTACTATCTTCCCCCCCCCCCCGGGGGGACAACCAAGAGGGGCTCCTGTAGCCTTGTATCCAGCGACGGGTCTCGTTACGTGGCCACACCTCAGCTCTAGTGTGGACCGGTCACATCTGGAGAATATCCCGGTCAATAAGCTGCGCTCTACGGCTCTTGTCATTGTTACAGCTCTTCTCCTCGATAGATTAGTCTCGACATTAGTGGATCATCAATGTGGGCGTGCAGGACGGCCGTCCTCACCCCCGGGTGCTGCATGCGTGCCGTGCCGCCAAGTGAAGCACGGATTAGTGTCAAGGATGCCACCCGTGCACAGTCACACTCTGATCCACGAAGCTGTGATTGTGAGAATTATTGCTGGGACGTGGGAGACGTGACGAAGCATGAGACTTGAGACTGGGACGTGGGAGACGTGACGAAGCATGAGGCTTGAGACTGGGACGTGGGAGACGTGACGTAGCATGAGGCTTGAGACTGGGACGTGGGAGACGTGACGTAGCATGAGGCTTGAGACTGGGACGTGGGAGACGTGACGTAGCATGAGGCTTGAGACTGGGACGTGGGAGACGTGACGTAGCATGAGGCTTGAGGCTGGGACGTGGGAGACGTGACGAAGCATGAGGCTTGAGACTGGGACGTGGGAGACGTGACGAAGCATGAGGCTTGAGACTGGGACGTGGGAGACGTGACGTAGCATGAGACTGGGACGTGGGAGACGTGACGAAGCATGAGGCTTGAGACTGGGACGTGGGAGACGTGACGTAGCATGAGACTGGGACTTGGGAGACGTGACGAAGCATGAGACTGGGACTTGGGAGACGTGACGAAGCATGAGGCTTGAGACTGGGACGTGGGAGACGTGACGAAGCATGAGGCTTGAGACTGGGACGTGGGAGACGTGACGAAGCATGAGGCTTGAGACTGGGACGTGGGAGACGTGACGAAGCATGAGGCTTGAGACTGGGACTGGGAGACGTGACGTAGCATGAGACTGGGACGTGGGAGACGTGACGAAGCATGAGGCTTGAGACTGGGACGTGGAAGACGTGACGAAGCATGAGGCTTGAGACTGGGACGTGGGAGACGTGACGTAGCATGAGACTGGGACGTGGGAGACGTGACGAAGCATGAGGCTTGAGACTGGGACGTGGGAGACGTGACGAAGCATGAGGCTTGAGGCTGGGACGTGGGAGACGTGACGAAGCATGAGGCTTGAGACTGGGACGTGGGAGACGTGACGTAGCATGAGGCTTGAGGCTGGGACGTGGGAGACGTGACGTAGCATGAGGCTTGAGGCTGGGACGTGGGAGACGTGACGTAGCATGAGACTGGGACGTGGGAGACGTGACGAAGCATGAGGCTTGAGACTGGGACGTGGGAGACGTGACGTAGCATGAGGCTTGAGGCTGGGACGTGGGAGACGTGACGTAGCATGAGACTGGGACGTGGGAGACGTGACGTAGCATGAGGCTTGAGGCTGGGACGTGGGAGACGTGACGTAGCATGAGGCTTGAGGCTGGGACGTGGGAGACGTGACGTAGCATGAGACTGGGACGTGGGAGACGTGACGTAGCATGAGGCTTGAGACTGGGACGTGGGAGACGTGACGAAGCATGAAGCTTGAGACTGGGACGTGGGAGACGTGACGTAGCATGAGACTGGGACGTGGGAGACGTGACGAAGCATGAAGCTTGAGACTGGGACGTGGGAGACGTGACGTAGCATGAGACTGGGACGTGGGAGACGTGACGAAGCATGAGGCTTGAGACTGGGACGTGGGAGACGTGACGAAGCATGAAGCTTGAGACTGGGACGTGGGAGACGTGACGTAGCATGAGGCTTGAGGCTGGGACGTGGGAGACGTGACGTAGCATGAGGCTTGAGGCTGGGACGTGGGAGACGTGACGTAGCATGAGACTGGGACGTGGGAGACGTGACGTAGCATGAGGCTTGAGACTGGGACGTGGGAGACGTGACGAAGCATGAAGCTTGAGACTGGGACGTGGGAGACGTGACGTAGCATGAGACTGGGACGTGGGAGACGTGACGTAGCATGAGACTGGGACGTGGGAGACGTGACGAAGCATGAAGCTTGAGGCTGGGACGTGGGAGACGTGACGTAGCATGAGACTGGGACGTGGGAGACGTGACGAAGCATGAGGCTTGAGACTGGGACGTGGGAGACGTGACGTAGCATGAGACTGGGACGTGGGAGACGTGACGTAGCATGAGGCTTGAGACTGGGACGTGGGAGACGTGACGTCGCATGAGACTGGGACGTGGGAGACGTGACGTAGCATGAGACTGGGACGTGGGAGACGTGACGTAGCATGAGACTGGGACGTGGGAGACGTGACGTAGCATGATACTGGGACGTGGGAGACGTGACGTAGCATGAGACTGGGACGTGGGAGACGTGACGTAGCATGAGACTGGGACGTGGGAGACGTGACGTAGCATGAGGCTGGGACGTGGGAGACGTGACGTAGCATGAGACTGGGACGTGGGAGACGTGACGTAGCATGAGGCTGGGACGTGGGAGACGTGACGTAGCATGAGACTGGGACGTGGGAGACGTGACGTAGCATGAGGCTGGGACGTGGGAGACGTGACGTAGCATGAGACTGGGACGTGGGAGACGTGACGAAGCATGAGGCTTGAGACTGGGACTTGGGAGACGTTACATAGCATGAGGCTTGAGACTGGGACGTGGGAGACGTGACGTAGCATGAGACTGGGACGTGGGAGACGTCCCAGCCTCACCTTCACACGGGTCTCAAAACTATTCACCCGAACGCGAATAAATTGGCATTATTCTCCATCTCGGTGAAAGGAGGTAATCGAACACCATTAGTTACTAAAAGAGGATTTGATAGGGTGTTCCCTCCCGGTAATTGGAAATTGGAGGTGACATACCAGTCAGAAGTGTGCGGCTGGCGGCGGCTGGCGGCGGCTGGCGGCGGCTGGCGGCGGCTGGCGGCGGCTGGCGGCCAAGTTGGGAGTGAGAGATATGGCTCTTAATTGGCTGCTTTTTTTCAATTAACATTGATTTCTCACATATATATTCTTTGGTTAGTGGTTGTAATATTTGTGTTGGTGGTTGTTGAGAGCCACCTGCTGGACCCCAGCTGTGTGGGTCACCTGCTGGACCCCAGCTGTGTGGGTCACCTGCTGGACCCCAGCTGTTGTGAGCCACCTGCTGGACTCCACCTGTGTGAGCCACCTGCTGGACCCCAGCTGTGTGAGCCACCTGCTGGACCCCACCTGTGTGAACCACCTGCTGGACCCCACCTGTTGTGAGTCACCTGCTGGACCCCGGCTGTGTGACCTGCCTGCTGGACCCCACCTGTGTGAGCCACCAGCTGGACCCCACCTGTACTCACCTATTTGTGCTTGCGGGGATTGAGCTTTGGCTCTTTGGTCCCGCCTCTCAACTGTCAATCAACTGGTGTACAGATTCCTGAGCCTACTGGGCTCTATCATATCTACATTTGAAACTGTGTATGGAGTCAGCCTCCACCACATCACTGCCTAATGCATTCCATCCGTTAACTACTCTGACACTGAAAAAGTTCTTTCTAACGTCTCTGTGGCTTGTGTGGTTATTCAGTTTCCACCTGTGTCCCCTTGTTCGCGTCCCACCAGTGTTGAATAGTTTATCCTTGTTTACCCGGTCGATTCCTCTGAGGATTTTGTAGGTTGTGATCATGTCTCCCCTTACTCTTCTGTCTTCCAGTGTCGTAAGGTGCATTTCCCGCAGCCTTTCCTCGTAACTCATGCCTCTTAGTTCTGGGACTAGTCTAGTGGCATACCTTTGGACTTTTTCCAGCTTCGTCTTGTGCTTGACAAGGTACGGGCTCCATGCTGGGGCCGCATACTCCAGGATTGGTCTTACATATGTGATGTACAAGATTCTGAATGATTCCTTACACAGGTTCCTGAACGCTGTTTTGATGTTAGCCAGCCTCGCATATGCCGCAGACGTTATTCTTTTTATGTGGGCTTCAGGAGACAGTTTTGGTGTGATATCAACTCCTAGATCTTTCTCTCTTTCCGTTTCATCTCCTATTCTGTATCCTGTGTCTGGCCTCCTGTTTCCACTGCCTAGTTTCATTACTTTGCATTTACTCGGGTTGAACTTCAACAGCCATTTGTTGGACCATTCACTCTGTCTAGGTCATCTTGTAGCCTCCTACTATCGTCCTCAGTTTCAATCCTCCTCATAATTTTTACATCATCGGCAAACATTGAGAGAAACGATTCTATACCCTCTGGGAGATCATTTACATGTATCAGAAACAGTATAGGTCCAAGGACTGACCCCTGCGGGACTCCACTCGTAACGTCTCGCCAATCTGAGACCTCACCCCTCACACTGACTCGTTGTCTCCTGTTGCTTAGGTACTCCTGTATCCAACGGAGTACCTTCCCTTTCACTCCAGCCTGCATCTCCAGCTTTTTCACTAGCCTCTTGTGTGGCACTGTATCAAAGGCTTTCTGACAATCCAAAAATATGCAGTCTACCCACCCTTCTCTTTCTTGCCTTATTTTTGTTGCCTGGTCGTAGAATTCAAGTAACCCTGTGAGGCAGGACCTGCCATCCCTGAACCCATGTTCATGCTGTGTTACAAAGCTGTGTTCAGCTGTGTTCACCTGTGTTAGCCGCCTGCTGGACCCCCAATTGTGTGAACCACCTGCTGGACCCCACCTGTGTGAACCACCTGCTGGACCCCACGTGTGTGAACCACCTGCTGGACCCCACCTGTGTGAACCACCTGCTGGACCCCACCTGTGTGAACCACCTGCTGGACCCCACCTGTGTGAACCACCTGCTGGACCCCACCTGTGTGAACCACCTGCTGGACACCACCTGTGTGAGTCACCTGCTGGACCCCAGACCTGCTGGACCCCACCTGTGTGAACCACCTGCTGGACCCCACCTGTGTGAACCACCTGCTGGACCCCACCTGTGTGAACCACCTGCTGGACCCCACCTGTGTGAACCACCTGCTGGACCCCACCTGTGTGAACCACCTGCTGGACCCCACCTGTGTGAACCACCTGCTGGACCCCACCTGTGTGAACCACCTGCTGGACCCCACCTGTGTGAGTCACCTGCTGGACCCCAGACCTGCTGGACCCCACCTGTAATTTGTATAATGTTAGTGGTAGTGACGGAGAACTGGTCGATGGTGGGGTGTGGACGGGGGTGTGTGGGGGGGGGTGAGGAGGAGAGGGTTACACTTGGATGGGTGAAATGGACAGAGAGTGGAACATAGACAGGTTTGAAAACAAAATAGACAGTTGTGGTGAGAGCGGACAGGTGGTGGCTACGGACACGGCAATTGGAGGTAGAGTTAACTTAGTTTAATTAGTTTAAGAGGCGACCGTTTTCATGTTGTGAAGGAGAGAGGGTCCATGAGGCTAGGCCAGTACTGGACCCCCAATGGTCTTTACGGTAACTATGTTACATTTGTCTTAACGACTAGTCACGTACAGTTCTCATTTGTCTACGTTACACCGGCCCACACTTGGCCAGCTGGCCAAGTGTGGTAGATAAGTTAGCCACCTGTATGATCCACCTCTGGTAGACAGTCATACTTATATATATATATATATATATATATATATATATATATATATATATATATATATATATATATATATATATATATATATGTCGTACCTAGTAGCCAGAACGCACTTCTCAGCCTACTATGCAAGGCCCGATTTGCCTAATAAGCCAAGTTTTCCTGAATTAATATATTTTCTTTAATTTTTTTCTTATGAAATGATAAAGCTACCCATTTCATTATGTATGAGGTCAATTTTGTTTTATTTGAGTGAAAATTAACGTAGATATATGACCGAACCTTACCAACCCTACCTAACCTAACCTAACCTATCTTTATAGGTTAGGTTAGGTTAGGTAGCCGAAAAAGGTAGGTTAGGTTAGATTAGGTAGGTTAGGTAGTCGAAAATAATTAATTCATGAAAACTTGGCTTATTAGGCAAATTGGGCCTTGTATAGTAGGCTGAGAAGTGCGTTCTGGCTATTAGGTACGACATATATATATATATATATATATATATATATATATATATATATATATATATATATATATATATATATATATATATATATATATATGTCGTACCTAGTAGCCAGAACGTACTTCTAGGGCTACTATGCAAGGCCCGATTTGCCTAATAAGCCAAGTTTTCCTGAATTAATATATTTTCTCTAATTTTTTTTCTTATGAAATGATAAAGCTACCCATTTCATATTGTATGAGGTCAATTTTGTTTTATTGCAGTTAAAATTAACGTAGATATATGACCAAACCTAACCAACCCTACCTAACCTAACCTAACCTATCTCTATAGGTTAGGTTCGGTATGGTAGCCGAAAAGTTAGGTTAGGTTAGGTTAGGTAGGTTAGGTAGTCGAAAAACAATTAATTCATGAAAACTTGGCTTATTAGGCAAATTGGGCCTTGCATAGTAGGCTGAGAAGTGAGTTCTGGCTACTAGGTACGACATATATATATATATATATATATATATATATATATATATATATATATATATATATATATATATATATATATATATATATATATATATATATCTGACGCGTTCACCTTAATATTCAAAAAGACACGGAAGCCGGGTTCAAAGAGCCATAGACTAACTTTTTTTCAACGTCTCAGAAGACGAAGGAAAGAGTCCTGGAAGAGAGTGGACGGAGACACCCTCTGCCCGGCACAGACCAGAACCTCACCATAGTCTTCAAGTGAGAGACGACTGCCAACTCGCTTATGGAAAGTTCTTAATAAGATATCAAACGAGCCGTGTTGATAGAGTGGTGTTGGAGGGTGAGAGTCGTCGTACTCTCGGAGCCCACGGAGGGCTCTAGTTAACACGATGCTTCGAGCCTTCCACACGTGAAACTCTTGAAGATCATTGTGAGGGTGGGTGCTGATGGCTCCTGTTCTTAGGTGGGGTAGTGTAGCGATCAGGGGGGGGTGGCGTTATCTTCAAGTAGCTGCAGATGAGTGGATTTGTCTTCAAGGAGGTGAAGGAGGGTGGCGGCATCACCTTGAAGTAGGTGGCATTGTACTGAAGTGGGTGGAGAAGGGTAATCCGTATATTGGGTGGAGGGAAGAAAATCATTACAGTGAGGACGCAGTGCAGGGCCTTCTCTCTCTCTCTCTCTCTCTCTCTCTCTCTCTCTCTCTCTCTCTCTCTCTCTCTCTCTCTCTCTCTCTCTCTCTCTCTCTCTCTCTCTCTCTCTCTCTCTCTCTCTCTCTCTCTCTCTCTCTCTCTCTCCTTCCCCTCCACCTCCTTCTCCCACTCCTCTCCTCCCACGCCCACGACGCCCACCCTCCCTGCACAGCGTGTGAGTGTGTCACCAGCAGGCAAGCTGGTGGGGACATGAACACCTAGAGCACACTACCTCTTGGTCACACGGTCTTGTCTCCTCCTCCATCTCTAATTCCTCCATTTGACCAAAAATGTTGTACCTTAATATTCTCCACCTTCCTCAAGGAGGATAAACAAAGCCTAAGCTACTCTAGCCCTGTGAGATGTTTCTTATTGTCTCAATAGACGTACTTGAATCCTCCTCAGTCTTCGGTATCATCATCGCTG